TAGAGTATGCGTACATCCTGAGCGCCAAACGTTAGACGCCCGTTGTTGTTTTTGCTGCCGCCATGTCTTTGTCTATTATAACTGTTATTATCCTTCTCATATGCCACTGCATATGAATTGGATGATTTCGAAAGCTTTAACTGCTGCTGTTGCTGCAACAGAGATTCACGATGGTATTTATGTTGTTGTTGGTGTTCACGTTGTTGCTGCTCGATTATTTCCAACATCTGGCGCGAACGACGATGATCCACATTGTGCTCGTGTTCATGCTGTTGTTGTTGTTCTGATTGTTGCGGCGCACCTGCTGCTGCTGATGCCTGCGTCACATAATGCAAATCTGTTGCAATCGGTTGCGTTGAGATGGTTTTTGTTGTTGTCGCCGCTCCCGCCGCTGTTGTGGCCGTGCCCGCTTGTTGTTGCACGTACGTTTTTGCTGCATTCACTGTGGCATATTCCAAGTTTCTATGCCGCGTATAATTATTTGTGCTGCTATCAATGTTCGTGGTGGCTGCTGCAGCAGCTGTTGCCGTCAGCTCGTATACTTCGAGCGGTAAGCGGGTCGTCCAGGCGGTGTTTAGTTGTTGGCAGCAAAGCAACACAGTAAGGATGGTGTGTAGCCACATTTTGTCTGTGTGTTTTTTGTTGGCTTTGGAGTGTAAATTGATTTTTTTTGACTTTTGATTTTTATTTTATTCGTTAGTGGTTAAGCGTTTGTTGTTGGTTCTTTATTTAATAATTATTGTTTGTGTTGTTGTGGTTGTTGCTACAATACGTTGCCTATTTGTAATTGACACTTTGTAGCTTTACTTGCACACCTTGAGCTTTTTTGCACAACTTTGTTGTTGTTTTACTACTTTTTTTTTTGTTTTTTTTGTTGATTTTTTCGGTTCGTTTTCTTTGTTTTTTGTACTATTCCTAGCAACTAGAGTGCTGTTTGCCTTACAATAAATAGCACCCGTATGTATGCATGTACATTGCTCTATTCAGTCGACAATTGCACTCGATTCGCATCGATTCAATTTTTAAACGATTTTTTGCTTAGCTGGAATCGTCGATTGCTGCGCTGAATGAGTAGTTGTTGTTGTTTCTGTAAGTTCATACCTGCAAATGTATACATTGAATGCTTAGATTAGCTTATATGTATGTACATTAATGTATATACATAAGTACATACATACATATACATACATACATATGTATGTACACATGTACGTAAATATATGTACATAACTAGCGTTTATTACTTTTAGATGAAAGCGCTTGGCAGCGAATTTTTCGTTTTTATTTTTCAGTAAATTTTGCAACTTCCTGCAATATTCTTTACAAGTTGAAACAGTTTATTACTATTTGGTATATTTTTCAAAACCTTTTGAAAAAAATATCTCGCAAATTAAGTTCTTACATTGCGTGTGTTTGTGCTTTAACCATTTTTAATTTTATTAAAAAAAATAAGTTTAAACTTTTTTAAATTTTTATTCTATATTTTTTTCAAATTTTGGGAAAAGTAAAAATTTTTGTTTCAAAACATTTACTCATTAGCTAATCATGTTTTATTAAAAAAATTGTTTGAGCTTTTTTCTGGTTTTTCGTTTTGTCGAACTCTTCTGGTGCAAATTTGGCATTAAAATATTTGAATTTGAATTGAAATCAACTGAATTAAAAGGTTTTGTACTCTTACGTTTTTTATTCATGGCGTATTACCAGGTTGTCTTTGCGCGAGTGCATGTACTTTTTAAAGTTTTCAAAATTTTGGTATCAAATAAAGATCAATTGGATAGCTTTAATTAAAAATACTAAACAAACATGATGAAAAAAGCATTTCCAAACACTTTGTTGCGTTTTATTTATGAAAGAAATTTTGTGGTTTTATCACCCAAAGCATGTAAAAATAAACAAAAATGAAAAAAATAAAATAAAATTATATCAAATAACATTTAACAATTTTATGCGCAATATATTTGAATTTTTTTACTCTTAAAATGGTTTTCAAAATTTTATTTAGCAATCTAAAAAGTATATGAATTTTTAAAAATTTGTATCCTAATAATTATAATTATTTGTTGTTTTGGTAATTAAGTTCAAAGGCGGTATTTCACTAAAGATTCAAAACGAATTACAAAAAAAAAACTAACTATTTAAATCATAGCATTTTGTATTCCGTAAAAATTAGAAATTGTTTAGCAAAAATAAGATACAACTTTTTGTTTGCTTTGCTTTTCAGGAATTTCAGTAATATACAATTTTCGCATTAGGATAGTATTTTTTTTCTATTTCTGCATAGTTTAAGCATCCGTATTATCATAACTGCTATTCTTTAATTACAAAATTGTAGTTTTTTTAATATAAAGTTTTATAGCTCCAAAGAATTTAATTAAGACAAAACCTATTTAATCCAAAATTATTTTTAAATAGAAATTGAATCAAATTTTATCCATTTTTATCCGACTTCAAAGAAATGAGGAGGTTATTAATTCGTCGGAATATTTTTTTTTATATGTTACCACATAACTTTGGACCACTTTAACCGATATCTATAATTCTTTTTTTTTTAAGAAGAGGTGGTCCCATACTAATTTGGTTTAGATTCGTTCATCGGATCATGAAGAAATTAACGGCATTCTTAAATTTTTATATTAAATTGAAGTCGGTTTTGTTTTTTGATTAAAAATTACTTGCAATAAATTTTATAAAAAGGAACCTTTTGCCAGAAAATTAAAAAAATTTGCATCCAAATTTCTTTTCTCTTTTTTATATTTACTTAAATTTTTTATTTCAAAGTCAACACAAAAAATTACAAATTTTTTTTTTAATCCTAGGTTTATTGCGATCTGTAATTTTTACATTATCTTATTTGAGTGAATAAAAATTACCGTAATAAAAGTTAAATGAATTTGAATGGGTTATTTTGTATTTACACCTTATCTGTAACTAATCCACAGTATTAAAATAATGCAGTCACCCTCAGTTTTTTTGCAACATCATTTAAGTAAAATTTAATGAAATACGCTTGACAACTGTATTTAATGAAGAAAAATAAATAATCTCTTAATTTTATTTAGAATTTTCGGGAATATTTAGCATCAGGTACATCTTCTTTTTAGTGTCCAACAGCAGTCAGCTAACATATTTGGACTCCATTAGCCGTCGTGCCATTTTTCTATGTTAAGGCCCGTAATAGTAAAAGACGTTGCATACATATGTACATACATACATATATGGCCTGAGAACTGGAAAAAATTAATTTTGAAAAATCTTGACTTTTGTTTTAAGGAGCGATATATTTATAAATTTAGTATTGCGATTAGTTTCCTCAAGATCCAAGGACCGGAGCTAAACAAATTAGTATGGGACTACCTTTGAGCTGCAGCTTTGGAAAACGGTTAACGCGGTCCAAAGTTATTCGGTAACATACATAAAAATTAAAAAAATTAAAATTCTGACGAATTGATAGCCTCCCAATATTTTGAAGGCGGATAAAAAAGAAAATATATATGGGTACCTTACAAATTTACAAATTTTTTAATTTTTATTATACCCGAGCGCACTTGTGCACAAGGGTATTATAACTTTGTTCACATAACGGTTGTTTGTAACAGGCAAAACGAATCGAGATAGATATAGACAAATGTATACATAAATGATCAGAATGAAAAGAGAAATCGATTAAGCGGTGACTGTCTGTCCGTCCGTCCGTCCGTCCGTCCGTCTGTGCACACGATAACTCGAGTAAAAATTGAGATATCTTAACGAAACTTAGTACGTGAACTTCTTTTGGGCGTGGGACGGATGGTATTGAAAATGGGCGAAATCGGATAATAACCACGCCTACCTCCCATATAACGGTAATTATAAGAAATACGAAAACTGCGATATTTTAGTAACTACTGAAGATAATTCACTCAAAATTGATACTTACAATGAGTTTCAGACGGAAAACATGAATATTATAAATTTTTGGAAAATGGGCGTAGCC